TTTTGTACATGTTCATGTGCGCCCTGCTGGTACCTTTAAGCTAGCTTTATAATGTTTGCCGCCATCTATCGTATTGTGTGTTTGCCATAAATTTTCACTTTATACATATGGACGAAGTGCATATTCTTCTCCTATTACTCGAAGGGTCTAGTCTCTAGAGCGCAAAAGATGCTGACGAGCGCAAATGGACTAACCCTTTGCATGCATGGCCACACGCACCTGCTTGCAATATATATGCTGTAGTGCCGAGTGGTTCTAACCATGCATCGCCGTACCAGGGATCGAGCTAGCTGATGGATGGTGTCATAGCCTAGCTAGCTCATACTACGTGTGGTTCGTCGAAACAGGAGGCGAAAAGACGAACATCTCCATCGCCCGGGGCAACTTGTTTGCCGACTGCCAAGTAAAGCGGACAGGGATCGATCGGGGCGACGCGGACGCATAGCTGCGCCCTGCGGGGCGCGGCAATGATTTGGCGAAAGCGGGCGCGCCTTTCGCCTGGATGTCGCCATCAGGCGTCGCCGTCTCGATCGATATCGTTATCCCGTCTCCCGGCGCTCGATCACCTGCGCGGGCGCGGCCCCGGTCTGGCGCTGCGGCCGCCGTGCCGTCGATCCGCCTGCCAAGTTGGCGGCGTCCATGTGAAGCGCGGGTGGGCTGGTCGCGCGCGCCGCCTGCAGGGAAGCTGCCTAGCTAAGCTACCTAGCTTTGCCTGCTGATCGATGCCGAGGCGTGCGCGCCGCGCGCCCCGTCCTGCGCTGTCCATGAGGCCACGCGGGCGACCGCACTGTGTAGGGCAGCGGCGCGACCACCTCGTCGCCGTGCCGCGGGGAGGAACGTGGCGCAGCGCGGCGCCAGAGCAGCTAGCAGATATTTCGTTTTTAAGTTTAGCAACAGGAAGAATGCATGCTCCTTTCTGATACCCCCACTTTTAATTTCGAGAAAAATTTCGCCACCACATTTTATCCGCTTTCGACCGAATTTTGGGATTAGCTGGTATTTTTTTCGTCCGGGATCTAAACAAATATTAGTGTGATTTATGACTACATATCTATTAAATAGAAGAATATGCAATATAAACAATAGAAAAATATAAGATTAGAGTTATATAGCACATGTATTAGTGTATTAAAAAATTTCGGAGTTTTCTTTCGGCCACCACCGAAATTATCGAATTTCGTGAAATTCGGCCGAAATTTCGCCGAAATTTTGAACCCTGGATACCCCCGCTAGTAGAGAAATGACATTTTATCTCGCTTCGATTTTGGGGCTGGTATTTTTTACGTCCGGGAGTAAAGAAAAAATTAGTCTCGGTTGGAGCTACCAACAGGGACTAAAGACCCCTGTCTCCGCATCGCTTTCACAAGAGGTGTCCTTTAGTCCATGTTACCAACCTGATTAAAGGTCTCAACCTTTAGTCCCCGAACTAAAGGACTAACGAGTGACCTTTTAGTCCCGGTTGGTGTCACCACCCCAGATTAAAGGTCTCCCACCCGGAACTAAAGGTACCCACAGGTCAATTCAAAAGGAGAGTGTCCAGGACCCTGTCACATGTGTTGTACAGCTGAATTGGTAAGGAGTTTATGAGCAAGAAAAGAGGTTCTGGATTCGAATCTCACACATCGCAAGAGAGATCTCCCTATAATTTCATTTATTTTTCTCCTAAGAATAGACCTTTAATCCCGAATTCGTAGTCCCGGTTAAGAAACCGGGACTAAAACCAATTCTCAATCGAGACTGCAACCCATTTCTCTACCAGTGCCCTACGCTGCCATACACTACTACTGGCCTACTGGGAGATTGGAAATTGTTGTCGTATCGTTCGTGGTCCTTCCAATATAAAACGAACATGCTGGCTAGTGGATACTGATCCTTTTTCCCCCTTTTTGTGAGCCGATCGGAGGTACGTATAGCGTGGCCCAAAGAACAACGTGCATAAATGGAATGGACGACGCAGGGAAGGAGTGCATATTTGCATTGACCTCGCTGCAGCTGGACAGTGCCTAGACATCGCATATATGCTATACTCGCCCTACGCCCCTACTCCTATTTTGGTATTTTGCTGCTGGGCGCTGCCAGATACTATTGCACTGTCATTTTGACATCGCAATTTGCACATTGTCATGGCCACGCATCTTTTTCGTCAACCGAGCGATTACCGCCTGTTCGGCTGGTGCTGGCTGGCTGGCTGCCTCCTCACACGGACACTGTTTATATGAACAGTATTTTCCAGCAACAATAGTATTTTAACAACAACAATACTTCTTCACGAACCAACAGCGATACGAACCAGCCAACCGAACAGACGGCGGATCGGAGGACGTAGCGTGGCTCCCAGAGCAGCAGAAATGGAATGGACGCAGGACTGCTTGCGGAGGGCGGATGGCAACACTCTGTCGTTGGCAGTCTGCCAATTTGCTGGACAGTGCCCAGAGGTACAGTACTCGTCCAAGAGGCTGGTAATTGTCAAGCTAACAACAGTACCTAGCTATGAAATGAA